CTCGGATAGGATTTGTTTTTAAAGATCATTCATTTTAAATATCAAATATAAAAAACGTATAAAAATGAGAATGCGAAAAAATAAAAGGAAATATTTAAATGCTCCCCTAGACAAAGGAGCATTTACTCACAACATCACATCACAGTATCGACATACTCTAGAACACAGGCCTATTCATAAAGTCATCGCATAGCAACAATAAATATTTTTCAACTTTAACGAATCTCATCCACCTGCTATGGACCGGATTATATTATGAGCAATAGTGTACTGCTTATTGTTCAACTCATTAATCAAGAACGCTAGAATACTAAATAATGAAAAATCGTTCTTATGAAACGCATAAAACATACAATATAAACACCACACTCATTACCTTTCTAAATATAGTTACCAGTACTGTTAAGTAAATAGCAAATATAATTTCATTACGCACGAGAAAGTTTTATTAGTATGTCCGGTCATTTTTTGTTGTTCGGATTGCATAAAAAATGCAATAACAATGTTATCATATTTTTTTTATTAAAGAGACGGTATATTATTACTAATGGTTAACAATGTGGGATATAAATTTGTTAAGATATGTGAAAAATTATGCCCGTCATAGCAATTAAGATACTGGCATGTTAATAATGTGCATGATGATAATTGATGAATAAATAATAATAATAATTAATATCAATATAACTATGATAATAGGTCAAATAATATTATTAATGATGATGACGATAATGCAAATGTTCATGATGATAATGTTGATGAGTATACTAGTCCTACCTACTACTAGTACTAATAATAATAACAATAAATACTAATGATGACATTATATAACTGTAATAACAATTAAATTAATATTGGTTGATTAGCGGTACCAGTATACAATCTAAGCTTTTTTCATTGTCTTTAAAATATAAAATATTATTATTTTAAGACGTTGATTAAAAACAAAAAAAAAACAAAAGTTAATTTTAGTTCATTACTTCCAACAGCAAACAACTCGCCGATTACATTGGATGTACACGTACCCATATTAAAAAAAATCACTGTAAGTTTATATAAATTTTCAACCGGGGTTTTCCCACACAAATGTTATTCTAAAATATTCCGCACGCACACAATGATACCATATTCCAAACTCGGTGAAATGGCTGATTAGTAGGCCTATAGGCAGTTATGACTGCACTGTCTTGAAAGGATTCCTAATTCTGATTGGATGTTATTTCAAATCCATACAAACAATAACATCCTATCATAATTAATAATTCATTTAACACCGGTAACAATGGCCACTGCTTTTGATATGTATATAGAGTAACGACTCAGAACCTGCTTGGAAAATAAGAATATAATGTAATCGGCAGGTGGCATTTGTTATTGATTTGCTCCCACAGGGTGGGGAAGGTTGGGAACGGGGGAGTGACAGGATCGATGACTATTTTCAGATCTCCAAAATCGGTAAAATTTTAATGAAAATTTACAAAAATAGATAAGATGGAACAATTCTCACACAATTCGATAAAAAATAATGATAAATCGCATTTTGTTTTTTAACAAATTCCAACTTAGAAATTTTTTATTTTCATGAATTTGGATATATTTATACTTTAAGCCTGGTTTCTATAAAATCTGTACATGTATTATCGTCGACAGATTTCGGAGATGCTGATTGGTCGGTGGAATCGCGAAGCCGCGGAAGGAACGCAGTGCAAAAATTGCAGTAAAACCAAGTAAAACACTGTAACGGCAGTGTAGCAGCAATTTAAAGGGAAATAGGCTTCATTTGCATTCGTAACCAATGGCCTAAATTTCGAATAGGGCCTATATTCAAGTTTTCTAAGCGAAACTTATTATTGCTTTTGTCTACTCAAGTATCTCAATCAAAGCTTTTAAAAGCCATGTGAAACTGCGTGACGAATTTATTTTAGCAACCGTACTAGTTGGTACCGGTTGGTATAAAAAAGAAGTTTCGATTTAGCTTTCTCTAACAATATCTCAACCGAAATTCAGACATCAAAAATTCATGGTTCATTTTGTTCATAATAATAATAGTAACCCACTTTTGTATCTAGGCTTACCTAGTTCACTTTGTGTTTATTTTGTTAATTGCTTAGGCCTATTATTATTATATTATATTATATTATATTATATTATATTATATTATATTATATTATATTATATTATATTATATTATATATGTATTATGTATGTACATTAGGCTTATATATTATCTTATGATTTTTATTGCCGTTATATTTATCTGTATCATAAGCTATCGCTCACACTACTCGATATCAGAGTACTTTGTTTTCCACACTTTTAACTCATTATCTTGCTCCCATCATATATCATTATCCCTATGTCGCCATTATTGTTTATCTCATTTAATCACCCTCCTTTATTTATTGCCGACTGTTTATTGTATTATATTGGATCTAGTATTTGCTAACTTTTGCAATCAGTTACGCTGATGAAGTCTTGGGGACAAGACGAAATAATATTTGAATTCGAAATATATATATGAATATATATATGAATATATATATATATATATATATATATATATATATATATATATATGCAGACGCCTAGTTGGTTGAGGCATCTGCATAGACAGCAAAAGGTCTTGGGTTCAAATCCCGGTTGGGGAACCTATTTGGTCCCACTCGCAGATTCCTCTTATTCAACGTTTAAAATTTATTTACATATATTTATATGCATTACCGCTAGACGATTTAGAGTTCTTCTCTATTATATTATAATATATAATATACATATATATATATATATATATAAATTGTGTTACAAAATTTCAGAGTTTTTGTCATTATATTTTACAAGGCCTATTGTCATATTTATAAAATGCCTATCACAACTACAAAAATGAAATTATAACTTATGACGCTGAAAGAAAGGAAGGTTAGCCTAATAAAAAATAAACAACTTTACAGATGGGCTAAAACAATTTAGGATTATAAATATTTCGTAGTTGAGAAAGAAGCGCATTCCAAAATTTTAAATCAGAATTAGCTTCGTTAAGTTTTTACTATTTAGATAATGTTAATTACACATTAGTTAATTAATATCGCATTTTTAATATATTTTGTATAATAAGTATAATGTGAAAACGTCGAAGGTTTACCTTTTATCTCCATACGTTTTCTTGCTCTCTAATAGATTGATCCAGAATATTAGTACTGCCAGTAATCAGTTTCGTCGATTTCAGATTGCAAATGAGTAAAATCATAGTCGACCACACCGACACGGATATGTTTACACAGTCACCATGGTAACAGTGCGCCGGGAGCAGACTAAATTTCCTCTCGTTATTATCTCTAAAAGTGCTATTGAAATTGTGGTTTTAGTGAATTCTATGTATCACAATAAGTATAACACCGGTTGTTAAGCCGTAAAATATAAATAATAACAAAAAATCGTATGGTATTGTATGCCTGTTGGATCAGTCACAAAAACCAATATTCAGGAAGCTTTACAATTGTCTTCATCAGATTAATTGAATACCGTAACGAACAGAACTGTGAAAAAGAACATTTTAACTTTAGAACAAAATAGATTTGTCCGAGTTTTATTCCACTATGCACAGGGTCTAGGCCCATTGACACCTGGCCTGTTGCCACCCGGCTTTTCGCCACCCGGCCCGTTGCCACCCGGCCTTTTTCCACCTTAGACCCGTTGCCACCCTAGGCCCGTTGCCATCCGGCCTTTTGCCACCCGGCCTTTTGCTACCCGGCCCGTTGCCACCATAGGCCCTTTCCCACCCGGCCCGTTGCCACCTGGCCTATTGCCACCCGGCCCGTTGCCACCTATAGTTGCTGCGAAGCAGCCAATTCATATTCTTTACAGAAATTTGACCTCTGAAAGGTCATTGTTTGTCAAAAAAACGAGTGCCTAAGACGACTGAAAAGCGGAGTTTCCTTCTTTCGTTCTGTCGGGTAAAATCAATTACTTTAGGCGACGTTTGTAGACTAAGCTACTCGTACCAACGTCCGCATGTCGCGCTAGCCTTATCCTACTCTAGGCCTAGACTAGCTAGGATGGTAGGCCTAGCCTTGAAGGGACGAAGGTCCCAATGAAAAACAACGTCGCTCTTTGATAGCTAACATTGTCTATTTAACATCACAATAATTAATAATAATTATATAATATTATTATATATATAATAGTTGTTTTTTTTAATTGTACTCCACAAATCTCAGCCGATACCTACCGTCGGAAGCACCTAAGTGCCATTCGACTTGACGACTTGTCAAGATAATTTATGTTGTCAAGTCGACATAATATACATATCATGTCGACATGGCGAGATAGATTATCTTGACAAGTCGTCATAGTAAAAATTATATGTTGTCATGGCGAGATAGATTATACTGACAAGTCGACATAATACATATTGTATGTTGTCATGACAAGTCGTCATAGTAAAAATTGTATGTTGTCATGGCGAGATAGATTATACTGACAAGTCGACATAATACATATTGTATGTTGTCATGGCGAGATAGATTATCTTGACAAGTCGACATAATATAAGT